TTGGGTATGGCTTGGCTGCCAGCCCAAGGGCTTAGGTCTGATTAGGCCACCATATCCATGGATATTTGGACCAGCTCAACAGCCTTTTTACTTTTAAGATATTTTTAAAAACATTCATCTTGATTTTTTTATTTTCTTTTATTTTTTTCATCATACGATAAAAAGGCTATAAATTGATAAGAATTATTTTATATTATATAAAATTTAGGAGATAATATTTTTTTTATTTGAGGTTAGCTGAATTTCCATATTAAAGTATGTTTGTTATTTGTGTTTTAAAAATATTTTAAGAAACATTCAAAAAAAAAAATTATTGTTTATGTTAATTTAAATTATTTTTATGTTTTGGTATTATTTTGATGTTATAATACAAAAATAAATTTTAAAAAAATATATTATTTCAAAAATAAAGTTCTAATTTTTTTACGCTTTCTACTAAAGTAAAGGAATTTCTTTAATTTTAATTTTTTTAAAATATTTTTCTTAATTTTATTTTTTTAAAATATGGAGTATTGCTTCGTGGTCAGATTTAATATTTTTGGGTTTGGTTGAGTATCAGATGTAAAGATATTGAGTTTTACTTGATTGTTAAACCCAAAATACATAAATATTCTTTATATTTTTTATATTTATTTTATAATTTTAAAAAAATATTATTTACCTGTTGCGAATACAAGCCAATATATTATTATAAATAATATTAATATATGTGAAAATTACTTTTTTTTCGTACTCATGAAATCGTTCATCAATTGCAGGATCAATAATTCATTATTTATATAATTTCCCATGTCTATTTATAGCGAGAGAGATTTGAACGTTGTAAGAATGATGAATACGGTCATTATCACTGACATGCTATATATATTGTAAAAATGTAAAAAAAAAAAAAAAACACCTTTAATATATTAAAAAACTTATAATTTAATATTTTCTTTTCTAAAAACAAGGTAAACATCCCTGTTTATAACCTAAAATCTTTATAAAAATGATTTGTTATAAAAAATTATATACTAATCTGTTCGAATTTCTTTACTTTTTAAATTCTTATATATTAATAGTTAAATAAATATTATAATAAAAACAATTATATTATAAAAATTTTATTAAAAAAATCATTCCGATGTCAACCATTGCACCCGTTATTCTGACCCCAATACAATTTCAACTGAAATTACAGTTAATCATAATATTTATATAAAAAAATGTGTTAACTCTTTTAAACTTGTATCCCAAGTCTTTGAATTCAAAGCACTCTATATAAAAATATTATAAAATTTAATTTTAAAAAATATAAATATTAAAGGATAACATTGAAGAAATTTTTTTTAATTATAATAATTTCTTTTTAAAAAAATAACAATTCAAAAAATAAAATTCAAAATTACTATAAGTAATACAATTATTATCACCACTACCATAGTTATTAATAATATTATTAATATTGTTACTAGTAATAACTTTTTTTTTTTTATTATTATTATTATTATTATAATATTTATATTAACTCATAATCTTTGAAAAAACCTAGGAATATGACCTATTTCGTAATATCATCATTTAAACTTTTACAAAATCTAATCAAAGTTATAGCCCCATCTCTTTAATAACTCATTTTATCTTATTCTTACCCAATTGTGCTGCATATTTGTTAACAAACTTGTTTCATTACATAAGATAGCTCCATTATTTAAAAGTTTATTTCTATAAAATTGGAGTAAATACTTATTTTATAATAATTATTTTATTTTAATACATTCAATAATGAATAATAGAGCAGTGTTCAATACATTAGCAACTAATTTATCTTATTTATTTTTTCAAACTATAATGAGGAAATAAATTAATAAATTTTTATTTTTATATTGTACAAAAATTATATGATGATAATTTTTTTTCATTTGAGGTTAGATTGAATTTTTTTATTAAAACATGTTTATTTTTATATTTCAAAAATATTTTTCAAAAATTTGAATTTTTTAATTTTTTTAATTTAAATTATTTTTTTTTGATATTTTTATATTATTTTAATGTAATGGTATAAAAATAAAAAATATTATCTCAATATATTTTAAAAAATATATTAAAAAATAATTGTTACATTAAGTTTGTCTAGATAGCCACACTAAAATCACTTCACGAATACCAATGCTACTTTAGGAGCGGTGGAGGTCCCATAACTTTGAATTTTCAAAAAACAAACTAACTACAAGCCTCTCGTATAAAGGAAAGAAAATGATTAATGAAGAATCAGTAGGAAAAGATTATTGATTTTTGACTTGGCCATAACTCAAGGATCTTGGATTTTACTCGATATTTTTTTTTTAAGATATTATTAATTTTATTTTTTTCTCTTGAAATTTTTTTTCTTCACACGGTAAAGAGAGCATTAATTGATAAGAATTATTTTATATTGTATAAAAGATGGATAATGATAATTGTTTTTTATTTGAGGTTGTGTTGAATTTTTTTTATTAAAGTATTTTTATGTTTTGCGTTTCAAAAATATTTTTTAAAAAAATTCAATTTTATTTTTATTTTTTATTAATTCAAAGTAATATTTTTTTTATATTTCATATGTGATGATATAAAAAATCAATTTTAAAAAACTAAAAAAAATATTATTTAAAAAATTAGAGTTCTAATTTTTACATTTTCTCCTAAAGTAAAAGAACTTCTTTAAGATATTTTTATTTTTTTTTAATATTAGATTTGATTTTATAATCAGACTCAAAAATATTAGACATTGAATTTTACTTGATTGTCAAACTCAAAACACTTCAAATATTATTTATACTTTTTATGTTTGTTTTACATTGAAAAGAAAACAAATTATTATTAACTTCCTGCGGATATGCTATTGTAAATAATATTCATATATGTGAAAATTACTTTTTTTTTCATACTCATGAAATCGTTTATTGATTGCGGGATCAATAATTCATTACTTGTGTAATTTACCACATCTGTTTATAGTGAGAGACTTGATCATTGCAAGAATGAATACGATCATTATCACTGACATGCTATATATATTGTTAAAAGACAAAAAAAACACATTGAATATATTTAAAAAATTAAAATTTAATATTTTCTATGAAAAAAACAAGTTAAACATCCCTGTTTATAACCTAAAATCTTTATAAGGAATGATTTTTTTAATTAAACATTACATGGCTAATCTATCTATCATTAGAATTTCTATACTAATTAAATTCATATAAATCTTAATAATTAAATAAATATTATAATAAAAACAATTATATTACAAAATTTTTATATAAAAAAAATCATTCCGACTTCAATCACTACATCCGTTTCTCTGACCCCAATACAATATCAACTGAAATTATAGTAAATCAACACACACACACACACACTCCGAAATTATAGTAAATCAGCATATGCATACAATATCACTGAAATTATAGTATATCAACTTCTGTATACAATATCACTGAACTGCACGCGTTAGGGACATAGCAGTTCGAGTTTTCTCTGTCAACCATAGAATTAATTGCTGTGCAATTATGGCCACACTTCTCCGGGTTTGTCTATTAATTGTCTCTGTATTCGTTGGGGAGACAAAGGGAGGGTGGTGGGTGTAAGGGAGGTGCAATTAATCTTCCCCAAGGCGGATATTGATTAGATTTTTTTTTATATAAATAAAATAAGATTAATAATACAATATTTATCAATTGTATTATTCTTAAATCTAAGTACCTTCCGGCACCCGCGTCTTACTGAATGGTTGGATTTTTTTTTTTTAACATTCATATATTGTGAATGAGTAAAAAATTATAAAAAATACTTTATAACAAATATAAAAAAAAAATAAAAACTTTTTCATATGTAAAAACCATTTGACCAAGAGGATAGAGCCTAGATCGGATTTGATCAATCAATTTGAAACCTGATGTCATTTCAATGCCCCACCTACCTCTGCAACTTGGTTGGGAGAATGACCTAGTGGGTGTGGTATGACCCTAAGTTGATAACTTGGGTTAGTGGGTGTGGTATGACCCTAAGTTGATAACTTGGGTTTACTAAATATCGTTTTTCATTTTCCTTTATTTCATTTTCTTTTTTGTTAGGTTCTTATGCTTATTTTAATGTTAGTAATTTAAATTATTAAATAAAATTTTAAGATATAATTTATATTGTTTTTTAATATATTTTTAAGTTTAAAACTTATACAAGTTTACATCACTTTATATTTAATTTTTTTATATTATTAAATCTTTGATATCATATTAAAAACTATTTTAATCTAATAATTTAAATTATTAAATAAAATTTTAAAATATAATTTATATTATTTTTTAACAATCATCCATACTTAATTATAAAATCATAAAGCAACCACAAACTAAAATAAAAAAAAATCAAAAGTTATTAAAAACCAGTACCACGTAAAAAGAAATTATCTATCGTTTCCCTTCCCTTCCCTTCCCTTCCTTTCTTATTTATTGAGACTTCGTACGGCTCGAGTGGGATGAAGAATGAATAAAAAAACATGAATCTTTGTTGAAGAATCAGGAAATAAATAAATAAAAATGAATGCGGAACCAAGTTAAAAAAGTAGCTGGCAAGTCCAAATCACTCGTCAGTCAGCATGTGAGCAAGCCACCATGTTTGGACGGCACAGACAGCTTCCTCCAGGACCCTAGACGACCTTTCTTTGTTGTCATCGAAATCAACTTGTCATCCTCTTCATCCCATGGCAACACGTGTCTCTAGTAGTTGTAGTATCAGATTTTCTTTGTACTCTTCTTTTCACTCTTTCCTCAATGTATTAATTCTGGGAAAAAAAATTGTGGTCGTACAAATTAAGTGATGCACGAAACGAGTCATGCATTGTGTGTACCTCACTAGAATTAGCTTTTGCGTGGCTAGGCTATATGTTAGAATAATAAAACCCTATAGAATTTTATATGTAATGTGAGAATAATAACACCTTTTCTTTTTCCTTTTGAGGACTCTGTGGAGCTATATATATGAAGCAATCTATGTACAAAAGCAAGCCTTCAAGTAAAGACACAGAGCAAAAGGCAAGCTTTGTATCTTCTTTGCCTAGGCACCTCCAGCTCCAAATATTTAATAAAATGACAGGTACCAGTTCGGTTGCATCACAGAAAAGGTAATCGAAATGAACTTCCGTTAATCTTGCACTATTTATAGTTTCTTCCTATTTGAACATGGAAATATTCCCAGTTATCTCTGATTCGCCTTGAATTCATTTTGCTTGTAACATTTCAAGATTATAACGTGTACTAATTTTATCAGCTTGTGTTCCCTCCAAAAGCTTCAACTAAATATTTCATCACTGGCACCATTTCACAGTTGATAACGTCCAGTATCTGCGTTTACAAGTTTGTTTTCACGTTTCAGCTTGTCTTTAATTCACGATAGTACTACTTCAGGTTAACAGGCAAGGTGTCAATCATAACCGGTGGCGCGAGCGGCATAGGAGCATGTGCAGTGCAACTTTTCCATGACAATGGTGCTAAGGTCGTTATTGCCGATATCCAAGACAACCAAGGCCAAGCCCTAGCTCAAAAATTTGGTGAAGTTGTTTGCTACATCCACTGTGATGTCTCAAACGAAGATGAAGTTAGCAATCTTGTTGACGCCACCGTTAAAAAATATGGTAAGCTTGATATAATGTATAACAATGCAGGCATCCTGGATCGTTGTTTAGGAAGCATTTTGGACACCCCAAAATCAGATCTAGAACGCCTAATTGGTGTAAACCTGGTAGGTTGTTTCCTTGGAGCCAAACATGCAGCTAGGGTCATGGTAACCCAAGGTCAGGGTTGCATTTTATTCACCGCCAGTGCTTGTACAGCTATTGGTGGACTTGCAACTCCCGCTTATGGAGTGACCAAACATGGCATCGTGGGGTTAGCGAAAAACTTAGCGGCTGAGTTAGGGCAGTATGGTATAAGAGTAAATTGTGTTTCGCCATTTGGAGTAGCAACCCCCATGTCTGGGGGATTTTCAGCAGGTACTGCAGCAATGATAGAAGAATCACTGGAACAAATGGGTAATCTAAAGGGGAAGATCCCCAAGGTGGAAGACGTGGCAAGGGCTGCACTATACTTGGCTAGTGATGAAGCAAATTATGTGAGTGGGCTGAATCTTGTCGTGGATGGTGGGTTCAGTGTTGTTAATCCTACAGTGATGAAAGCTCTCTACTCCGCTAAACTATAAGTTGATCTCGTTGATGTGCTTCTTTCTTGGTTTCAAAAAATTAGCAGAATTCGCAACGTATTCGGAAATGTGTTGAAGAATTTTTTAATTTGTAAGAGTAATTTTTAATTAAAAATATAATAATAATAATAATAATTTTGTTTAAATTTTTTCAAAGAAACACCTAAAAATATAAATTATTAAGTGAGATTTTAAAATATAATTTATATTATTTTTTAATATACCCACAGTAAGAACTTATTTGATTAGGAATATTTTGGTAAATTGAAATCATTATTATTATTTTAGTTTTTAAAAAATAAAAAAGAAACAATTGATACCCTCACTGCATCATATGGAAGAAGGGACAATTGTGAATCTATGAAATGATGAATGATCAAATTTGACCACTGAGAGGCATCTCATGCGCTATCTTAATGACACATACTATTCGCTAGGGTGTGTGAAACACGTACTAGTAGTTTTTTATTAAAAAATAAAAAATACAATGTTAAAAATACTAAAACATCCTCCATAATCCTTTTAATTACACAACATCCCCATTTTACTATCGTAAGATATAGTAAGATATGTCTAGAATTACAGTGAAATCCTCTTGTCATTTAGCTTTTTATATAATTTGTTTGAGTTCATTGCCAATACATTTTGTTGCCTTTTTTATCCAGATGTATTGCAATCCCACTGCAGAATTATAAAGAGCAAGTCTACATATTTTTATATACAAACAAATTATACTATACTTTAAAAGACATGGAAAAAAAATATTATGTATATAGTGTGGACAAAGACTCATTAGACTATAGAACATACTATAGACATAGAGTATTTTCACTACGGATAACATTATAGTGCCATGAAAGTGTTATATATTTGTTGTCTTTTAGTCAAAAGTGTTGTTAGGGGCATTGTTTTTAATGTTTTCTATATCAAAACCTATTAGGTCCGGCGCTATTAGGTCTAATTGCACAGTCAAATCTAAATTGCTTCCAAATGAAACTGGGTCAGGCTTGGAAACTGGACCAAAATCACTTCTAACATTATCAAAAGATTGATATCTTCTTCCAAGTACAAGAGTGTCGAAGTAATAAATAACCCGGCAAAACCGGGATTAAACCACATGGATGTTAATTGTATAAATTATAAATAACAATAATACAACAACAACAATAATAACAGTAGTAGTAGTAGTAGTAGTAGTAATAATAATAATAATAATAATAAAGAAGTTGATGAAAACTTTGAAATGGAAGATCAATGTAAGGATTAAATAATAATAACAACAAATATCAAGATTATAGGATCCACTAATAGTATTTTAAACTAGTATAAACTCTTATTAGTTAACTGGAAACCATACAAAAAAGAGATTTCAATTGGATTATAAATTGTTAACATGATTACATTAGTTATCTTATTCAAATAATATTAATACTTGTAAATGTTGTCAGGTATTCATGATTATAACTTATGTTAATAACAAATCAATTTCTTTTCATAGTACAGGTGTAGGTTATAGCATACGGTTGGGCTATGAAAGTATCAATTATTTATTATACCAAGTGTTATACAATATAAATCTATATTAACCCTTTAACTAGCAAAGTATTAAAAGTGAACAAGTTAACAAATACAAAATATATTTGTATTAAATATTAAAGTCCATGTTAAGTATATACTATATTTATTCTTACACCATTAGTGTAACATTTTCACCTTGACATAACAAACTTAGCTAAACATAATGAATAAAAGAAACATAAATAAACAACATAAGGACATAAGTATAGTAAAGGAAATGAAAAGCATAAATAAGAGATTAAAAAAAATATAACATGAAATAAAACTTAAACATTACAAAAATATAAAGAAAGAAATAAAAAGCATGATCTTGATTTAAAAATAAAGATGTCTAAACACATGGCAAATGCCTTATTTTATAAGCCAAAATTATAAACTATTAATTTAATGATTAATTATTAAATGGGTGACCAACTCTTGACTTGGTGATAATTTTTATCTTTTATCTGCCAAGAATAACATTGCTAACATCAGAATTCAAACAGATATGAATCATGAAAGTTCTAGGAAACTATCTAAGCTTTCTAACTAAAAAAAAATTGAGATCATTTGGATTTCTAGAACTTAAAAAATAGGTTGAACACTGACCAGTGTCTGAGCTGTAGGACAAATTCAAACTTCTTCATTGTTACTAGGATTTAAATTTTCAAATAACAGAATTGAATCTTTCCTTCCTATGAATGTTTTAGGCCTATGTCTTAGCTTTCCATCCATATAAAGTGAACCTAAATCCAAGTTCTACAGCTCCAAATATGACCCAATGACTAAACAGTGTTCCAATTTGGACATAGTTGAATTCATCAATCAATCCTTTGATTTATGTGATAAGCTTGTATTTAAAATAAATATTTATCATAAATTAAAGGTATCTTATA